CTCGTGTTCAATTCAAGGTAGAGTAGTGTACAGTGCTGTGCCATCAGCCTTGGGTCTTCTGTTCATGTAGGGACGTCGTTTTACAAGTTTGAGAACTTACCACCGTGTCTATAGACATTATATGGCCATAAATGCGGTGCAGTGAATATCGGACGTAATATAATACGTTTTAAAACGAGTGCACTTGCATATAGGAGGCAGACTTTGAACAACGTCTCGCTTGTGAGAACCCCTAGTGAATGCTACATTTTAAGAGCCGTTAAAAAAAATTGTGGCTGGTTGGGTGGCCCCTATTAGTGTAGACATTGGCACATGTCCAGATGTTTCCCGTTCTCTATCCCGTAGCGGAAATGTGGAAATAAAATTATATATTCACACTCGTGCACACATCGCTGAACACAAAGAGGATCTGCAGTGCTTATTTGAATATATATAATAGGCTCGTGTCAAAAGCTATGATAGTGGCACGGAGCTCACGCTGGTCAGGGCAATTGTGAATTTGAACAAAGCACCATGGAGTCATATCGTGACTTTTCCAATACTGATTTTTCTCACGACTTGACCGTCAATATCAATATAAATTCCGTGACAAACATTCCCTTAGTTGCAAAAAGCACGAGATGATAAATTGTGCATGACTAACTTTTGTAAGCGTTGGCTGGACCAAAGATGCTGATTTAAGTCCCCCCCCCCCTTTCCACCTTGCAGGGCTGGATCCTCTGGCGATGCCACAGACTCCGTGCCAGCGCAAGGTCGACGGTTTTGAGGGAGTTCTAGAGCCCTTCTGCCTGCTCTACGCCAGAAGCAGCGAGGCCAGTGCCGGGCTGTGGTCAGAGTGCACTCTCACCGTGCCGACCGACTACTGCCTGCTCGTCCACGTGTGCCTGGGCTGCCCGAGCGACGGCAGCTGCACGGCCGAGCACAACTCCTTCGTGGTGCTCACCCCGATGGCCGGCACGGATGAATCCAGTGATGCCGGTGATGCCGGCGACAGGCTCGGGAGGACGGCTGGCCCTGGTGGGCGGTGGGGAGAGCTGGGCGGACGTGTGGCCTTGGAGCTGTGTGCCCACCGCTGTTCCAGCGCGCTCTTTGCGATGCCCACCAACCGCCTCCACGTGGCATTTGTCCCCGAATCAATTCCCCCGGTGCACAGCTTCCACGCGCTGCACAGCTACGTGAAGGTGCGCTACCTCGCCGTGCCTAGCGCCAGGGCTGATGCCGCCGCCGGTGACCACTACATCCAGGAGTGGCTGGAGGCCGGCTGCGATAATGGAGCCAGCGGCAAGTTTCCGCCGATGCCCCCTCACGGTATTCCAGCGGATGGAAACCAGGCTGTGATCAGCGAGCGGTCGGCTATGGGGCCTGCACCGTCGCTGGCAGAGCGCATCGTGCACCTGGGCGGAGGATACCCCGTGTTCCGCCTGGTGGCGGACGATGACGAGGACGGGCGGCACCTCCTGGGCGAGCTCGTGCACTCGTACCTGCAGCACTGGCTGCCCTCACCCCTGCGCCTGCGGCTGCGCACGCGGTCCCTGCGTCTGAGCTACTCGAGGCAGAAGGGACACCGACCTCCTCCTCCTCCTCCTGACGGTCGCGCAGACAGGGGGGCTACGTCGCAGCCTCGCCGGCATTGCGGTAATTGGTTTGTGATCCCAGAGCAGATTTTTCCTTGCCGGTACAATCGGAGGTGGCAGAACTTGAGCGGTTCCAGTTTCTCTGTGGTCAATGACATTGAATTGTGAGAACCATTTGTAATGAGTGGGTTATCATTTAATTTGCTCTTACTCGAGATGGTGGTGAGATGTTAACTACCTCGCCTGGTATACAGGATATCGTGTCTTCGATCCCAACCTTGACACCTGTATATTTGGAGTTTGCATGTTTTCCCTGGGGTCACGTGGATTTTTCTGCTGTAAATTTCCACAGGATGAGCTACTTCGTTGAGCTATCTATCATTTTGTGGCCAGGTCGCTTCTGAAAAGATCTATATAGCTCGGTGAGTGTTACCTGGTAAAATAAAAAAAATGTTTAGTTTGCCATATGTTTCGCTTCCTCAAGTGGTATCAATTTCTGCTCTGGCCCATGTAGTAAATGCTGAGAAAGTGTCTCGCCCTGTCCGTGCTGGAGTTTGAAACCGAAATATCTTAAGCTGTGAATTACTCGTCAGCTTTGAGTGACTGTGTGTAAGTTTAATTTGTGTAACCTATGCCAATCCATATCAATATACAATTAAATTCATAACCTTCTATTTTATAAACAGGTAAAAATCACTTGAAGGGCTATATTGTATTCATTGGAGACCTTAAAATATTATCATAGGCCTCAACTATGTAACAATTAGATTGGTATAATGTTTGTCACATGTTCGGGGTGATTGGATACCGATAAGTTATTCACTGTTTTGCAGCACCCAACTACGCGGTTCCTCGGATGGCTTATCCCCTCGAGAGCTGTCAGTTTGAGCTGCAAGGCAAGTCTGGGCGTTTCTATTCGCCCAACTTCCCAGACAGCTACCCAGAGCTGGGGTGGTGCAGCTGGAACCTCCAGGTCAGGGAGACTCAGAGCATCGTTGTGAAAATCTGCGGCTTCACTGGAGGAGACGAGTGTTGCCTGCACAGCGACCGGCTGATCTTTGAGGAGTCTCCTAGACGAAACATCATGGCCATGGTGCTGTCATGCTGGGGCCACGACACGTACTACTACACCCCCAAGGGCTCTGGGCTAAGCGTACTGCTCGTGAGTGGCGACCGCCAGGCACTCAATTCTGCTGCTCCACGTCGCTTCTGGGGAGAATACTTTGTTTTAGACGAGTGGGATACACTGGACTTGAGCAGGCTGAACTGCGGGGAGTCTGGTGATAACTCAACATTGATAAACGTAATTCGACAACCTGCTTCCGATGCAGACAGTGACAGGATGGTGTTACTAAGTTCTGAAATGGAAGACTTTGTTAATCAGACTCCCCTTGACATTAATTCCTTAACAAATGAATGGGATTTGGAAGTTAATGAAGACCGTGGCACTGAAGAAGGCATCCAACAAGACATTCCATATCATGATGTTCGTTATTCTCCATTCGAGCTGGCAAATGAGACACGTCACAAAACGGCTTTGGAAAATGAGTTTGAGCAACGTTTAGTTCCACTGGGCTCCAAAGTTGATAACGTCACCTCTGCTATTTTACTTGAGAAAAATGTTCCATATATATCTGATGCAGAAGTACCCAAGCACATTACTGCATTGCCAGTTTTAAAAAATCAAACTCGTTTGTCTATGTCTGTGACTGTTAGAGATCCGAGTGTAAATTTCCACCAAACCCATAATCATGTTGAACTTCCTTCACCTAAATCATCAGGTGTTAATTTGAGGGCTGCAGAAGCTGTTAATGAAACACCAGTGGCAGCTGCAAAAGCTCACACACCAGGCTTTTTAAAACCAATGCTCCAAAGCAAATTACTGGGGCCTCCAAATGTTATTCAGCCAACCCCATCATTTTTAACAAAAAACACACTTGCATCAGTCTTAGAAATAAATTTAATTTCACCCACTTCAGTAACAATGGTTACAAATTCTGTAAAATCGGAGAGCGGTATGCATAATTTTCCAAATGCGTATTCTGACAAGGTCCTTGAGGATGATGTAACTTCCAACACCAAGGGTTCCTTGGGACCTGCATTTGAGATAGAGCCTTCGTTTGTCCAGTCTCAAGTGATGTCCCAACATTTTATGCAGTTGAACAAAGTTACAACACTGGCTTTGTCAGGCAGTAGTACCCAGACTCTCCCAACAGATTACCACGGGGTGAGCGTGGACAGATATCCATCTTCTCGCACAGCTATTGGGAGTGAGTCTAGAGGAACTGCGCAGGCGTTTGACAATCTTTCACAGTCATCGACACGCACTTCATTACTTTGGAAAATGAGTGAACTGGTCAAGGGGACAAAACGACGCGTGGCTTCGAGCAAACAAAAGACAAGGGCTTCTGCAGTGGCATCTTTGATCAAATCTCAGCCGTTACTTGCGTTTCCTGTTGAGGCTTCTCTACGTGGACTCTCGCACAACGCTATTAAAAATAAATCCATTTTTGGCACACATGCCACACGTATACATAAAGGTAGGTATTTGCAGGCATCACGTACAAGGTGGCACAGTTTTCCCCTCGCAGGAACGTATAACGTATTGACTAAACCTTCCGTGACTGCGCAGGCTCGCATAGTTGCCACCACCACACAATCTCTAATCCATTCCACTACAGTGACCACATCTGCCACAGCAGAGAGAACAATTTCGGATGTATCGGTTGCTTCAAACCGCTTGAGCATCCTACCCGAGGGTGCCTCTGGCTCCCCATTGATGTACAGCGCCCAATTGTTCCCTGCCAACAAATCTGATGTTTGGTCACCAAAGCCGGTCATTAGAGACTTTATGCCAACAGAAAGCGTGGGAATTTCTTCAAGCACTGTTACTGCAAACGGGACGAGTTCATCCGATGGTGAGTTTTGAGTGTTTATTTACAGCAGTGTTCTTAACTAATTTTCATAGGAGCAGCCACTTTTGCCGGAAAGATATCCGTATGAGGGCCACCACATATTTTAAACCGTTGGATTTGACAGCACGATGGGGTGTTTTGACATTTGTGTATTGTCGGGGGCCACGGGCCTTGCAATGAAGAACACCGATATATAGGATTAATTCCACATACTGTATGTGCAAGTCAAAGTGAACAGTTTAGGAAGTCAATCTTGATGGGCTTGCTGTTCTTAACTATCAGAATTTTATCATGAATTGCCCGTTTTCACCCCTACTGGATGAAGGCATCCCAATATATGGTTTTGCATGATTGGGGAGGCTACTGCAATCACACTTATGTCACATCAGAATTGTCTCGCCTTCAAACTTAGTTTGTTCTCTTCTGAGAAACATTGTATGAAGTAATTTTTTTGTTTATGTTAAAAGACTTGCATTAATATGTAAATATACTGAGTGGTGGTGTTTTTTGTATGCAATTATTTACTTTAGGGCCATTTCCCACTGCAAAAAATGAGGACAAACCCCAGTCACTGGACATTGGCACAGGGCCTTTCAGACCTCGAGGTGAGTTGACACAAGGCTTGGGTTGGCCACTTCTTATACATGCCAATCAGTATAGAGGGCGTGTAAAATATATATTATTCTGGGGTTGGGAAAAAATTTGGGGGGGGGGGGAGTTATGTGACACGGCCAAGGAGTTGCAGCCTCTGCTTGTGACCTTTTGAACTCGCTCATGATTCTGGCTTCAAGAGATTTTCCCATATAGGTTGTGTTTGAATGCTAAAGCCGGTCAATCGATTTGAGAGAGGGCTGCATTTTATTCGCCCTCCCCACCCACTGCCTATGCCGACCAGCGTGTAACTGTGTGGCTTGTTTCATATTTTTATCCTTGCCTTAAATTATTAGTCTCACTGACACAGTAAGATCCCAGAGGGAGCGATGGCACCTTGTTAACTTGGTGAAATTGGATCATGATGATGGTTGCACAGGAGCGTGTGGTGCTACATGGCGTGCATATGGTGTGGTGAATGGCTGTGTGGGTGTCGTATAGCGGTCAGCATGCTGCGCTATTAACCCAGCAACTAGAGTTCGATTCCTGCTCGCAGCCAACACCAGGTGATAATTGTCTGTGCCGGTCCTGGGCCTCTCCTAGGTCGACTGAGCCTTAAATCAGTACCTAGTGTGGTATGTAAACATCGCCACTGGGGAGACGATGGCGGCTGGGTGTGGTGCTGGCCACCCACCCCCTCTCGTGTGCCGTGTCGGCCTTCATAGATGTTCGCTAACAGCACTTGCCTCAACATGTTAAGGCTATATGGGGGATCTTTGTCTTTGTACTTCAGAGTACACCTGGTTTGAGATGTCCGTGGACTCAATGCTTCAAAAGAAGGCAAGGGAAGGGCTTTCTTTTGGCCGCATTGTGAAGCTCCTCTCTTCACACCTCTCCCAGCTGGTGAGGATATTGTTGCTGCTGAACCCTATGAAGATGTTTTGTCTCTTTGCTTCGCATGGATGTCCTGCAGTGTCTCATCACTTTTTTAATTGGCTACAGCAAACCCTTGCCCATTGCGGGGGTTACGTTCTTGAAAGTAGCTTCAATTGTAAGATCCGCCATCCGCAAAGACAAAAGCAAATAGGAAAAAACTAGGGTTTGGTTCAACCCAAACATTGAACGGGAAGTATTTTGAATGTAAAATATTATTAATATTTTCTAGTATTAAATGTAACCTGTATGGTAAATGTATAGAATGAAAACAATTAATGTAGTGTACACTACAGACAGAAAAATTGTGCGGCTGGGAACACGTGACCTAGGACCCACGATTGGATGCTTAGGAGACGATACGGCACCGCGTGTGTTTTTCTATGGCAGCAGCATCGCGAACAGTACAGTTACGATGCATACAGGAATCTCGTGGTACATTGAGTGGTTGAGCCACAGGCGCAAACGGCGAACTCTTCCTCGGTAAAATTTGGCGCTAAATCTCCGAGAGAAAGGTTTTCTGTACTGCGAAATTTACTTTGCCAACACGAAATGACCAAAACTAACGCGTATCACCCAAGTGCAAGACTGCTGCTCTTAATTTGGTCGATGTTTACAGCGCGTTTGTTAAATTATCTTGTGCTCCCCCATTTCAGATGGAGAAAAACGCAAGCGATTATTATGGAAGTAGTTTCCTGAGTGTTCTGCCAAGACAAGCAGGCTGGTAAGGGTTTATATACAGCCCTTTCACGCCACTGGTAGTTGAAGACCTTCCTATGCCGTGTCGATCATAGCGGGTGGATGGGTGGTTGAATATTTACCCACATTGGTGCATGCTGGTTTGTAAAGACTGTTCCCAGGAATGGGTTCAGATATCATTAGCCACTGATATATTCCCATGGCCAGGAAAACAATTCAGGTTGCTGGGTTTATAGCACTAACGACTCTATTTCCTCTCCACCTTGGTCTGGTAAGGGTTAAATGCGATGCCACTATCCCTCGGTTCTACATTTTGTTGATATGTTCTGATGAATCGGTTTTATGTGTAGTGAGCCATCTCGCCTAGCTCTCAAGCTGTGAAAATGCGATTGTCGTCGCTGTGAATTTCCCGCGTGCAGGGTGGCGCAGGGCCTGCAAGTGCAAACGAAGTTCCACGTCTTTTTCCGGCACCTGCCCCGCGCCAGCGCGCGCCAGCTGCAGCGATCATTGCGCAATCTTCCCGGCCAGCACTTGGAGTCCGCGGACGGGGCCCTGAGGCTCCAGCTCCTCTCCATCGATGTGACCGGTACTGCACACCACCACCACAACCCACATTGCAACACAAGCCACAGTGGCCATGCACTGCCAAGCAAAAACATGCACGCAATATTATTTTCATCAATATTGTGCAAGAGTAAATATTTTTGCTGTTGGATTTTTTGTGCAAAATGCAGGCAAATTCTTGAATGAACCCATTTATTTGGGTTTTTTAAATCTGGATTGATAAATGGCTTTCTTTATTGCTAAAGGTCTGCGTGAAGAGCACTTTATAACTCCGTCGTGATGTATTGTGAGTTGACTACTGTGGACGTAGAGGTGAGGCTATTTACTGCATGAGCAATTTAGATTGTTACACCACAGTGCCATGAGAGATGGTGATGGCTTGAACAGCCCTTCATCCAATAATGATTTGAGTGGCTGATGCTTATTCGCATTGGATTGACACTTTAGTAAAATCTTCTCCCCTTTCAGATTATTAAAAGCGGTTGTTGGTTAAATTTCGATTTAAAGCTTTCGTGACTGCAGGGATTCATCTTCTTGGTTCTTTCGGTAAAGTCACGTAGAAGGGAAATAATAAAATAATAAAACATAAAAAACATAATAAATATAAAAAAATAATTCTCACGACGTTTCGGCCACAACGCAAGCAGCCGTAGAGGACGGCTGCTTGCGTTGTGGCCAAAACGTCGTGAGAATTATTTTATTATGTTTTATTTTTATTATTTCCCTTCTACGTGACTTTACCGAAATAACCAAGAAGACGGTTGTTGGTTTTGCCTTTTTTGATACAGTTCCCAGAGTTACCATGTGCAAGCTTGAGCATGGGTGTGAGCACGCCCACGATGCATCGGCGCTCCTTGTCTTTGGGAGCGCACGGATGAACCCTTGTTGGCTCGGTGTGCTCGCGTGAGCAAGCTTTTGTATCCAACTCGTCCATCATCAATTTCAGATGTGGACGAGTGTGACGTGGGGGAGGACCTGTGTGACGCAAACGCATTCTGCCACAACATGGTGGGCTCCTACGTCTGCTTCTGTAATGAAAACTACATCAACCTCGACCCCGCGTGGAAAGGAACCCAGTGCCAAAGCGTTCTCGCTCAAGGCAAGTTCCCTTATGCTGGCGCACAAACAACTGTTATACTTGCACATCATAGCACCCATTTCGGTGTTTAAATATAAATAACCTGTTCCTAACAATAATTATTACCAATTTCTCCCTTGCATAAAATGTATTCATTATCAGAACTGATGTTTATTCGATTTGTGTATGCAGAATTTAAGTTTTCTAGAAGACTAAGTTGAGTCTATATGTTTAACTAGACAACATTTCAACCATACAATTGAGAACCTAAGGTCATCCTTGGGTTCTAAATATGCTTTAAATGTCATTCTCAACACTTAAATATGGTTTCCATCATCGGTGAACCAAGCACTTTGCCTCCCATGGAGTGAGACTGCAAAGCCCACTTCCATTTCCTTCGAGATGAATCTCACTGGGTTGTCATTTCAAAATGCTCCATTTTTAAAAGGTGCAAACCACGTGGTGTTACCGTCGCGTCTGTAATTAAGTCGAGGCAACGGGTGCTGCCACCACGACGGCCCCTGCCCCCACAGAGGCACCAGAGGTGGCGGCCCTAGTTTCCCCGCTGGCCGTAGCGCTGGGCTCTGCTGCCTGCATCCTTGTGCTGCTGGTGCTCGTGGGGGTGGCCGTGAGTAGCGTCGCGGTGAAGGGGAGGAGGCGCCGTCGTCGCTTGCGCCTGGAGGCAAACGGCTTCAGCTGCACAAGCACGCCCGCCATCTACTTCCACCGGCGCTGGGAAGACTGGGATCCACCTCCTGCACCGACTCTGTCAGACGCAACACTCGTCTCTCAGCCCCGAGTGGGTCCTCCCATGGTGAGCGCTTCCAGCATCAGCGCTCCGGACAATCTCGCGTCACTCAACGGTGGTACGAGCACGGGAGGGCAGTGGCGTGCATCCGCATCGGCCGACGTTTAAGATTGTGCAGCAGAGCCGTCCACTTCGCCAACTCCCGAGTCTTAAATCTCCGACGCGTTGTCTGCCCGTTTTGAGTGTTGCTTTTTTTGTTTTGAATGTAATGCGATTGTTATAGGATGTAGTAATGGTATGCAAATGTTTAATTATACACTTAATGTAACCGTGGCCCTTTAGCTTTAATTGCAACAGCTGATTTGAGGTAACATTTAAGGAATTTTGTTTAGCTTGCAAATAGTTATGCTTGCTAAATGTGCATGCGATGTCTCGGCACAGCCAATGAACACCTTGTTTTAAACCATGAAAATTAACCAAATCGTAACCATAAAAAAATTCAAGTATTACAAATGTCATTATCATGGTAACCACATCGTAACTTAATGTGCTTCATGTCATATTTAAAATTGTCACATGGTTTGTTTTAAATTCAAGGTTCATGAGTTTCCTCCCCATGTTTCCCAGTTAAGGAGTTGGTCCATGTGGGTATTTTTGTTTTCCCTGTTGGCCAGGGTAGTGTGCTTAGTGATGCACATTAACCTGCATTTGTTACACTACTATGCATTAAATTGAAAAGTACATGGGTTTGTTTTACTTTTTTTCTATCATGATAAATGAGCACTTTATACAAAAATGACAAAGTACACATTTTAACACATTTACACATGCAAGTACAAAGCTTACATTTGAATTCTATCTCAGGTCATGGTTTGTAATTGGCAATTTCATCACAAAGTGCTACGTGTATTGTTTCCCATAGTGCATTGTTTTTTAGTTTGCTTGAGCCTGACAATTTGCAGTTGGCTCATCACAAGTTAAATCCATTTGCTATTTAATAGCTGTACACTGCATCCTAAAGTGGCTCCAAGAAACTCTGCAGACACCAATTGGTGCCCGGATTAACTTTATTTACAGAAACGTTATTTTTTTCAACCTGGAGATGCTTTACTAGGGTGGGTAAAGATGCATCCTGTACCAAAAACAGGAGGGACGGGGTACTGGCTCAAGGTAAAATTGCTCATGTCAGTGGTAGTGGAAAGAATTATGGACAAGTGGTTCAGTTTTCACTGAATCTTTGCAAATGGATGTCCAGTGACTGCTTCAATAACCTTGGTAACTTCCACCAGCATTCAACAAAGGTGCTTAATTAAGGCTGTATAGTCCCGAGTATTTTAACATGAGTGAATGTGTAGCAGTCCATACTGTTTAAAAAGTGGAATTGTTATGGTACATGGAAAGAAATGTTGGAAAATAAAGTTTATAATTGTACAATATTGTCTAAAGACCATTTGAGATGGTGGTCATCTCTTCACGTACATACACCAGTAGGGTCCAAAACAAGAAATGCTAAGGATATTTCCCACCCTAGAAACATTGAAATGAAAACAAGCATATGGTATAAATGTAATGTTTTATTATCTGTTCACAAGCCTTAAGGAAATTAAACTCAAATCGCTAACTGAACACTTGTGGGATATAAATAAAAAATCCCAAAGCCAAACATTTAATGAACTTTTTTATGCAGCTTTCAACGGTATTTTCACTTTGGTAAGATGCCTGCCCTACCAAATGTGAACCATCTACAGTATAAAGCTTACAGAATGTGAAACAAGGCTTTTAATTAAGGTTGGAGAAAACTTCCACATTGTAAGCTAAACTTTGCTTACATGAAGAATCTCACTTGAAAGCATCATTGTTCTGGCTCCTCTTCACTCTCTGCCTGCTGGGAACTTTTCTCCGCATTTGACATGTTTACATCATTGTTGTCAACATCACTACTCTCACTGTCATCCTCATCAGTACTAGCAGTGTACTCGGAGTTCACATGATTTGTGTTTACAAACAGGTCATCATCTCCACTGTCATCTTCATCAGAGACCTCTTCATCATTCGCTGCACAGGTGGTTTCTTCACGGTCCAGTTTTGGCTCACTACACAGGGAAGCACAAAAGAGAACTTGTCTTATCATGCCAAAAAAAATCTATACTATAACATGGAGATAGGCAAGCATGCCAATGCAGAACAACAGATCAAGTGCAATTAATGGATGAACAGGTTTTAAGGAACAAAACAACTTTAACTAAACAAAAATACTTACAGGAATGTCTTGCTGGAAGCTTCTACACTTGCATCCTCATTGAACTTGACAGGCCTACAGAGAGAAACAAACCCAATTACTGAAATTCAAATGACAAGTGGTAGTCCTATATGTAACATCAACCAACATGGCACATTCACAATGTTCTTACCAAACACCCTCCTTCTTGAGGTATCTGATGTGGTCTCTGTTCAAGATGGACACAATTTCTGCCTTGACTTTGTCGCCTTCTTCAATGGGCTCTACCATCACAAAATCTCCTGCAGACATTTAAAAAAAGTGACAATATCATGTAAATAACAGCAGCAGATTGCATATAAAACCAAACTTGTTCATGAGCAGATATAACTATTAGAGGCATACAACCATGAAATCGATTCACAGCCTAATTTTTGTGTAGTCCTTTATTCAGTTTAACCGACTAGTGGTTCTGCGGTGGAGTTAACGTTTCTGTTGCAATCGGAAGGTTGTGAGTTCAAATTCAGGTTGAAGTCGTGTTTTTTTCAACTGGATACTCACTCCCCTTCCCTACAATGAAATATCCACCACTTGCGCAGCGATGTATACTGGTGAAAAACCACCTCCGCACATTTGAGCAGGAAATCGATTTCACTTTTCCATTGTGAACAATATGAATTCAAGCTTATTCAACTTATCTGACATGTAGCTGCATTGAAGTTACACAATATCGAACCTCTTTTAATCCAGATGTTCTTGCGGTACTTGGTGGGCATTGTGACGAGGAAGTGTTCTCCGGCAGCTGTCTCCACCTCATGCAGATTATTGCCAGGTGTGCCCAACACCTGATGCACACAAGTCAACAGCTCACTAAACTCTGTATTCAAACACAAGCTCGTTAAATATCACACAGTACCGAGTGAAACATTAAATTATACCTTCATCTGGTTTATGCATAATACAAACAATTCCGTGTATTTAAGCATTTCAATACTGCATAAACGTTCAGTTGTAACTGAACGTTTATAAAGTCTTGGAATCTAAACAGGGTTACGCCTGATTTAGTATTGGGATTAGAATCTGCCTGTGAATACCAGGTGATGTAGGCTTGGTCTTCCAGCCAGGCGAGTGTGGAGCAATGCATTGTTGCATCTGTATGGCACGATGAGTGTTACTCTCTTTTATGCATGGGTGTCCTCCCACAAAGTTAAATACTCAATGCAAGACCTTCCTGAACATGTCTTTTACTTGGCTTTTCATGGAAAAGGGGCATTTAAAAACATGTTACAGCCATACATTTGTAAACTCTGGAATGACCCACAGAGGCGTAGCTAGGGGGGTACATATGTCCCCGGGCGCCAAGGTAAAGGGGCGCCAAAATGAGGCTTACAACGTTACATTATAACTTATTGCGGCGGGCGCGGCAGCCTGAAACTACTGCACAAATCTACACCTCAACCTAAAAGTTTATATTTCCCGCCACACACAGCCGACATGTCATGTAATTACATTTTGGTATGTGATTAAACGGGGGGGAGCGCCAATGTTATAGTTCGTCCCCGGGCGCAAATTATCCTAGCTACGCCACTGATGACCCAGCAAACTAAGCTTTTCCCATGGCACCCAGATCACTCCTGCAAATAATGCCACTGCATCATCATCTCTCGAGTTTAAACCTTAAGCTTAGCAAACAAATTACAGGTAATTGTCTGGACAAGTCTGTTGAGTTTGTTCGCGCTACGATTGGCACGGCTACGTACGGTGCGAAAAAAGTTCAAAACGCATACCTTGACGATCTGCTGCTGCTCCATGGGTGCTGCGAACTCCTCCAGCACCTCCTTCACCACGTGCTTGCGTTTCGTCGCCTTTGACATCCTGAGCGGCTTTGGCGCGGACACTGGCGATTTCTCCTTGGGGACTGCTCACTTTGGAACGTGTTTTCCAAACGGCCAACAACTACGGGAGGTGACGATATTGACACACGTCCAGATTATTACTTAACAGATGGTTATGAGTGTACACCGCAGTACTTTACATACTAATCCGGCTGTGATGGTGCACAATTGTGAATTAGCGCTTTGCATGTGAGGGTTGGTAGATCACGCAGATATTTAAATGATCAAACGCCACTCTCCAGATGGAAAAACAGCAAGTGGGTTGGCGGAGCAATCTATTCGGACATTTGACTGTTGTTACACCTTCCCAGATACTCTGGTTTTCTCCAAACTAAACACGGCAGTACTTTACAAGATCCAGCGCAGCTCCTGCAAGTCTCGAAACCCAATGAATGTTTGCCGCAGAGAAGATGCGATGTATTAGGGTACCGGTAGCTGGTCGTGGGGTTTGTTCGCAATCGCTCCAAGAAAGACGAAATATTTGGTTCCCCTGCTCATGGGGGACTGCATCATTAAATGCCCAACAATCATAAAAGTCCAATCCAGTTTATAATCAAGTAAAAAGCCACTCATTTGAGCTGTGGTCGCTTATGAAAAAGAGTTAAATAGCTCAGTGGCCCTTACTTGGTAAAGTTAAGATAATCTAGATTTTAAGTTTTCGTGACTGCAGGGATCCATAATACTCTTTGGTCCTTTCAGTAAAGTCACGTAGGTAGAAAACAAATAATTAAATCACGACGTTTACCAAGTGTGTTGCGCCCGAAACGTCGTGATTGAATTTATTTTATACCTACGTGACTTTATTGAAAGAACCAATGAGTGTTAAGAAGATAGTTTAGTAGTTTTAACCACAGTAATCGATTCCTCGGGAGTTCCCCACTCTCCACGATGGCGTTGAGCTTGTGGCCGCTTCTTCAAAAAAGATAAAAGAGCTAAATAGCTCAGTGGCCCTTACTTGGTAACGTTAAGAACATAGTTGATTAAACTTGATTTGGAGCTTTCGTGACTGCAGGAATTACTCTTTGGTTCTTTCGGTAAAGTCACGGAGAAAGATAAATTAAATAATAGCATACGACGTTTCGATTGCAACACAAGCAATCATCATCAGGTACAAATGAAATAGAAAACAAACCTAGTAAACTTAGAAATAAAATGCAAATACAACACACAGAATCGACTAACACAACAGTCAACACCCCACCTAGTTGATCACGTTCTTTCAAAGATTGCTAAATTTGAGAGACAAAACACAGACACGGAGACACAGACACACGCAGAGGGAAATAACACAGAGATAACACGAGAGATAACACAAGAGACACACACACAGAGACACACACATAGGCACACACACACAGAGACACACAGAAAGACACAGACACACACAGAGAGACACACACGTAGACACACAACAGAGACACACACACATAAGCACACAGAGAGACAGACACACAGAGACACACGTAGACACACACACAACATAGACACACAGACGCAACGGGAATCGATTGAATCGTTAACGGGCGGCGGAATCGATTCCTCGGGAGTCCCCCCCTCACCCCGCTTCTCCACGATGCCGTCAGCCCGCGTACTCGCCGCCTCCCCTGCCCCGGGGCTTAGCCGCCGTCCCGAGTCGCTACGTACGCGGCTCTCGCTCTTGGTGTTCACGCCGTGAGCGTCGCTGCGGGGAGGAGACGGAGCGGGCTGGAGCGGGAGCCCGGAGTGGAAGCCGCGGGTCCCGCACGCACGGCGGCCATCGTTTTCCTACTGTCTGACGTGGTCTGACGTAGGACCAGCAAGACGCGCGCCGATTGGCTGCAGCGGCGGGAGGCTCGGAGCCAATGGAAGGCGCGGAGCCGTTCACTGGGGCGCCCCGCAATGCGAATCGCGACGGGGGCTTGGGGCCCCGGACCATGAGTAATCCCCCCCCCCCCCCGCTCACCACGTGACATGCCCGACACGTGTATATATGTGGCAGAGGTCGCAATCGGGTACCTGATACCCGTACCCTAACCGATACCCGGTACGGGTAGCCGTTTGCGACCCTGGTGCGGCCGGGTACAGGGTACGGGAAGGCCGTGAGTCACTGGTGAGTCACCGTTTGTCACTCATTTCGGGTAGGGTACGGGTACCCGTGCCCGGCCAGGTACCCATTTGCGACCCTTGGTGCGGCCGGGTACAGGTACGGGTAAGGAATCAAACCCAGTTTGCGACCTCTGGTATGTAGATAGGGGCCGTCCATAAACGACGATATTGGACGATTTTTGACCCCACAGTTATTGCTGTGGTTTTCACACCTGATGATGATTGCTTGTGTTGCAATCGAAACGTCGTGAGAAATTAATAGTTTTATTTTTATTATTTTATTATTTCCCTTCTACGTGACTTTACCGAAAGAACCAAGTAAATTATAATCCCTTGTTCATCATGACGTCCTTTTTACTTCTATGTCTCAACAGCGTTAGGGAGATCACGTGATGACGTGAGTGTTCTGCTTTTGTAGTGAGGGTTGTGAGTTGACGCCGAGGAGGGGGGAGGAGGCGCCTCTCGCCCCCCCATGTGGAGTGACGTCACCCGCTAATTATTATTAATGAAGGGGGGGTGTCTATTTGGATGACGTCACCTGCTCATGCTTATTATTGAGGGGGGCTGTTCGATGTGGATTGACGTCACATGCTCATGATTATTAGTGAGAGGGGGGGGAGTATGCCATATCGAGTGACATCACAGAAACTCTAGATATGTGGATATCGCGGGTAAAGTGAAATACAAATGTGTTGCAGGTCTAAGCCGTCTTAGCGCAGCATTGCTTCATTATTTCAGTCGTTTACTGCCGTACGCACCCTGAAGGTTGCGTGTGTCTGCTGCAAGCGCGTGTATGTGTACCTATGGACGCACGTGTGTGTAGGGGGGGGAGCGGTAGTGCAGTGGTTAGCATGCTGCGCTACGAACCCGGCGACCCGAGTTCAATTCCCGCTCACGGCCACCACCGATGACGATTATTTGATACCGGTCCTGGGCATCCCTGATGGTCGACTCAGCCTCAAACGAGTAACTGGTGTGGTACTCTTAGGTTTAATTTTCGGTAAAGTCACGTAGGTAAGAAATAAAATAATAAATCACGACGTTTCGGAGGCAACGCAAGTCTCCGTCACCAGGTGGGACCGTCACACTATCAAGTGAGTGAGAAAAATCCAAGAGACAAGCTCTTAAATTGGATTTATTAAAATATTTTTTACCTACGTGACTTTACCGAAAAAACCTAAGAGTATGAATCCTTGCAGTGACGAAAGCTTCAAATCTAGAACTGATGTGGTGTGTGAACATTGCCACTGGGGAGACAAAGGCGGCCGTGCGTGGTGAATCCAAGTTCCGGGCAAAGCCGGGTATGAAAGCTAGTTATGCAGAAAACGCACTTGGATGTACCAGCGCATACATCATCAGCCATATTCTGTTCACTGTTGGGCGAATGACTCCATCCCACGGCGTTGCCCACGATTCTGTGATGCCACGACAAATCTTACTCCTGCACCCCCCATCGTTCCATCTCTTCGGGCGCATTTCCCAATTTCCTCCATCGGCTATGATCTCCTCTTACCGCGTGTCTTGTCCTCGCCTCCTCACTTAACCTAACTTGCGTACGTTGTCTTGATACACGAGTTACTTCCTACACCACGAAAGTTACTTGCGAGAATGAATACACCTCGATCAATCTCTGCATATATTTCAGGTGTTGTTCTGTTATACATATTGTATGTGTTCATGTTTCTGAGCCTCGTTATATAGCAGATATGCGCTGGCTGAAAACTTTCTTTAGAAACATTGATACTTATCTTGTCAATAAACCACTATCATCAAGCACACGAACTAATCGTAACCAGTTTCTGTTCGTAATACCAACTTACGTACAAATTATTGGTGACGCTGCGTTGGCAGTGGTTCAAAAGCATTCGTCAATAACGCTGCTTAAAAAGGGGAAACATTCAATAGGTGACAGTTCGGGAAATGGTTCTTCATAGCACAAAGGCCAGAAAGTGGAGACAAGTTTGAGACTGTCCTTTCTTTTTACCATGGGGTCGGGTAACATAAAAAACAACACTGTGTTGTACATACAAATCAGATGTAACTTAAAAAACGAAAATAAAGCAAAATGTTTCGTAAATAAATATGATCAGACTTACAACCAGGATTTTTTTTGTAATTTATTTTTCCCCAAGTAAAAATATAAATGTATTAAACACCAAATTACATGTTAAAAATAACCTGCAATAACTGATAACAAAACAAACCTGCCATTTATTTGGAGATGCGGAACACCCAGAAAACATGCACACTTTAGATCAACTCATTAACCACAAATTAGCTATACCTCATGTTCAGAGTTTTCAACCTCATAGTTACTGGATTATTCTTGCATCTTTCTAACAAATGACACTTGCTCAAACAGCATGAAAAAAGCATTGCACTTTCAACACATTTTAAGAACCTGCAAGTACTGGCATTGAATAATAAAAACAAATCATGATGACCAAAATAATGACCCTTTAAAATATGAATGCTGTACATCGACTGCAAAATGCAAGCCGCTTGGAAGTGTAGCAAAACAATGGAAAGTACAGGACAAATCAAGATCATTTGTCTGACAAGATCCACATGGGCGTTTGTCTTTGATTCAATAACACATGTTATTTACAACTGCTAAAATATATAGTGATGCCATCATTAGTATCGCAAGTGAATAGATTTTCATAATCTAAGCCAGGCCTAAGATTGTAGACATATGCATGAGCAATTATCATTTGGATTAAGAAAAAAATACTGTCGAGTAATTGAACGTGACATTCAACATGATTCCTTGACATGTGCAACTACATTATTAAGCGTGCCAGATGAATACTGGCAATGTGCAATCAGTGACATAACCATTCCACAAGTGTTTGTGATTTGAAGCAATGTATCGTTTCGACAAACCAAATATAATTAAAAAAAAAGTTCTGCGTAGCTCGGAGTGCTTATCACCGCTGCTGAAACAAATTACGGAAATTATTTAGTATTATTATTGGTGGTACCGTCATGGAAACAGGGTAGAAAGCTGCCTTGCAGCCAAATATTTGTCCATTCTGCTTCACTTTTTCCATGTGCATCGTATTGGAAGCTCAAAAAGCGGTGTTATTTATAGTGAATTGCAAATCTTACTGCAATGTGGAAAGATAAAACATGTAGATATTTTGTATAGAAATGGGTTTCAGTGTATTGACATTAGTATGGCAGTGTAAAGTTATTTGCTGTTAATTCTACACCTTACTGCATACCACAATGAGATTATAGTAATTCACATGATTGTAGAACTTTCATACAATAACATGTGAACAGTACATTTTAATTCACATTTTGAGGCCATAAAGAAACCGAAGAAATGTACAATTTGTTTTTATGCTTTGTACAATGAACATTGCATTAACCCTCTGACTGTGGCTTACAACATGCATGTACTTTATATTTTACAGCAGCTGTTTTGCCAAGTGTCAATTTACAAATTTACACAAATAAGAAATTAAACATGAGCAAAACAACCGTTTCACATTTTCCCCCCAAAAGTGCACCCAGCGCTATATTTCTTGAAGGTATACACTGAAGTTGAAACTGTTAGATCTTTTATATGGAATCTTGGAAATATCTGTTTCTCTTAAAGTTCAGATTATGAAGAAATATTATAGTAATTTTGATTGATTTAACCATTTACCACAATGGGCAAATTGCACTTTGAAACATTTACAAGCTTGATAATTGTAGGTTGGTCTGAGATCTTGTGTGGTTTTCTTTAAAAAAAGAACTGTGTAAATGGAGTTTTCTTAGACTTAGATGCACAAATATACAACAACACGTGATGGTGTTTCGGAATTTTTACATTACATGTAGTTTAACAAAACGCCACATTGGCTTAGCAGAATCGATTGCATCATGAGTCTTTAGCGCATAAAATCGATGAAATGAAACGTCTCTCCCAGAGCCCAGGCAGTCTCAACATTGTTTATCTTTTTGGCCAACTGTGAAACCACAAAATGAAATGCAAGGTTAATAATACACACATTTAATACATGGACAAATACAGCATGCACGTTAATATAATGCAAGACAAATAGGCCATTAACTGTATCGTGAACTCTTTATAAAAGTTGATTTATGAAATCGAAGTATTTTATTTTTATTATTATACTGTTAGTTTAGCTGTATTGGTCAAATACAGGAAAGCAATATTGACATGTGTTCATGTTGCAGTGTCAATTAGAGGCCGGCCAAAACTGAATTTCTGGTTTTGGCCGAAAACGGCCGAAAACGAAACCAGACCGAAAGTTAAAGATTTACTTTCGGCTGAAACCGAAAGTAAACCGAAAATGAACTTTTTGGCTTCGGCCGAAACAGAAACTATGCTGAAAGAGGCCATTTGCCAACTTTCGGCACCGAAACCGAAACCAAATTTCAGTCGGCCTCTTATTAGCAGACCATGGTTGCGGCTGTAACCTCGCTCCCAAGCTGCTGCTGCTGATGTGTTTGTGTTTGCAGCCTATCGCATAGGATTGCCTAGCACCGACTGACCGGCCGATAGGCAGAGGGATTGACGTAGCACTAGCGTTATGTTCTAAAAATAGATCTTCAGTTGACAAATGACGACCGAAAGTCAATATCAGTTTCGGCCGAAACCGAAAGAAAGTAAACCGAAAGTCAACTTTATGGCTTCGACCGAAACAGAAACTATGCCGAAAGAGTTTGCCAACTTTCGGCTGCCGAAACCGAATTTCGGTCGGCCTCTCGTGTCAATGATTATTAATATAATGTAAACGACTCTAAATTATTACTCCTTCAGCACATATTACCAATTGACAATATCAACACATTGTAAACTCACCTGCAGAGGAGTGTCTCTGCTGAAGCCCAGGCCCTTCTGCAAGAAACCTGCGATATATGCTAGGTCCATGCAGAGAAAGGGGTCGGCACCCTTGATGGCCTGCTTGCCATCACAAACTGCACAACATCAGCACAGCCACGAGGGCCAATTATTAAACAGTCCCCATATACCAGTTCAGTCAAGTTTGTTTAACCAGGTGAGAACCCAAGAAGCCAGGATAATCTAATATTCATGAGAGACTCCGGCCTTAAACTATACCAGTTTGGTGCAATGTTTGCTGTGAAATCCTAATTGGGTAATTTTCGATTTTGGCAAATTTGGTTCCCGATGCTAACGCACAATGGTCTACTCTTGTGAATTATATCAGGGGATCTTCTATTTCCACCGTGAAACAGACAGTGCATAGTAATATTATGGTTATGACACCCACTTCAATAATCAATGCGGCCGCTGGATTTGAACTGTGAACCTCTGCAGCAAGCAGCGGATGCACTAGCGTGCTACTGCGAGGCCATATACAACTATGATGAAACATATCCATGACCAAGCATCTACCTCCAGTGTACAATCCTTTTGTTTTATATCAAATCGCAATGAAAGTTGAGATGCTATAAATTTGTTTAAATCGCGTGTAAAGTACATTATTGGGGTAAAAGGTTAGTTACCGCTTTTGGCTTTGTCTTCATAGTCACCAACTTTCAAAGTGCCGCCTTCTGGTGCTGTAAACAAAGAGGAGAACTTGCTGTTATTTGTTAGTGGGTTAGACTATCCACAGATTTAAATCGTATTTTAAGAGCACATTATACAGCACAAGAGCACAAGCGATAAACACACATTTGACCATATTGCAGTATTTTATTGAAAATCTATAAATATTTTTTTTTTATATACTTGAGAATTCTAACACGTTTCGGTCAGTTACTATAGTTTAGGACACACCAATGAGGCCAGACTCGACAGCTCTGTCAAAGTAGTAGGAGAAGGCGTAGAAGTGTTGCTGGTGAATGCCTCCAGGCTGCTCCACTTTCCCTGACAGCATCTTCTCAACTTTCATTGCACACAGGCTAAAGCTGGCTGCATGCCACAGAGTTCACACCGACACACATACCAAGGTGTAATTTTTCAACGTGTGCATGGTAACATTTATGCATTCAGTTTTATGTCACACAATTGTCTTTATTATTGAGCAATATGTGAAATATATACTTTATAATATTGTCCTTCTATAATATGGCAAGTATGTGTAAATTATAAGTCCAGATTTAAGTTTTTTAGCCACGTGATAGCTTCGGGACCAAAGCGACTAACACTGTCCCAGTGCGCTGGAGAACGGGCTATAGAATGCACTTGTTCATATGGTCCATTGTTTTGTTCGGGTGGCGGCAGTCGCACTAACGAAAGCAACCAGTTGTTATTTTGAGACGTTTGATGAAGCACCACAGCTTTCAGATGAATGCCACGTGGAGCAGTGGTAGGGTCCTCGATGAGGTTTTTATCAATAACCTCCCTAGGTGTTGGCTTCTGGGAAACAGTCCTAGGATTTGCCTCATTGCGGAAAGCGGTACGCCGTGGTGATTTTTGGACACAAAGCAGAGGTCTGGTTTGTACTCCTGTTTCCATCGGAGTGGAAACTGCTTCTGCGATTAGGATTGAAAAGCAGATATAGATCGTTTATGGATAACCAGTCCGTTGTTTGTGGAGTGGCCCCATTATGTGCAGTGGCTGTTAAAGACGCCCACATACAGCAATATATAGGCTACAATAGGGATCATTGGAGTTGGCCAAGGACTCTTCGGCGGTTTGTACACATTGATCACGGACACATGACCTATTCCCATGACCGATGTTTTTGTTGGCAATTATTTATTCTATCACCTCACAATCTTTAAGGCCTTGATGTAAGTGGCGAGGCCATATTTCAGATGATTGAAATTAAGTCGTATCTGTTGATTTTAGAGGTCGTGAGTCAGTTGTCTTTGGCAGGGGTTTCCCTTGAGCACAATGTCAATGTTTTCTTGATGTAAACATTTGGCGAGTACATCACACTTTGCCCGAGAGGTCTTCCAGGTATAGTTGATATACTCAATGCACGTCCCTACTCTTCTTTGGCTGGTATTTTGGCCCTCTAAAAAGACCGATATTGGACGGGATTTACATGTACTCGAATTCGAATATCTGAGATATATAAATAAATATAACCAATTTACAACAAGTTAAAAGTGATGGTAATAGTCATGCGATGAGACGCTTAAATGGTGGGCCGCGTGAAGGCTACCTTCTCCCACCCTTAATAATAAAGTAATACAAATTATATATTTTATGGAGTCTTAATTAAGGTTCCACTTATTCCAAAAGAAAAAAGAGAAATGGATACTGCACACCAAATAATTTATAGAAATGGTGCAGAACATCTCTTGCCATTTTATGTGCATGGCACACTTCCCTATTAAACCGTAGCACTCTTATGAGTTTTTATATGACAGCAGCATTAAACGAGTCGTCATCTGTAGCACTTAATGACCCAACAGCCAGATACCCACCGCCTTTCTGTCCCCCGATCAAGTAGGTGACGCTTGACTGTTTCCACTCGCCCTTGTAGTCAGAGGGAAGGCAAGGACTCAGCAACCGCCTTCCGCCTACACAAGTAAAAATTGACATTTGTTTTCATATCGAAATATCTACTCTGAATATAAAGAAGGTATGAAGTCTAAAATATTTAAAATACTATTTGATAAACCTGTTTATGCCAGAACATCCTACTGAGTCAACACCCTTTCAGGAGGGTTCTGCATATTTTACCACTTCAATTAAGGAGTATTGTGTATGTGGGAGGAAACCGGAATGCCCGGTTAAACCGCGCACATCAGAGAAATACACTAAAGGCTCTGCACAGATGGTTGAAAGAATCAATTTGCAGTATTATCTCTTGGCCAACCCGCAGTCCAGGAGATTTGGAAGATTCATAAACCTGAATTATTGACCAACTCGTAACTCCAACATGTTGGATTACATACATGTGGTACTGCATCAGACAACTTGTTAATTTAACATAAATAAGCAGGAAACATTTACATGTGAATGCAAAACACATGTGGTTATTCATAATTTATAATCATTTCCACTCCACTCTTTAGAACTGCAAATAGCATTGTATACATTCGTGAACTGTTATGTGAAGCTATAAAAAAGCAAAAGTGGTTGCCCTCTAATGGCAGATATATATTTGTTAAGTATTACAGCATTGTTTTCTCCAAGACCAAGGGTGCTCTGCAAACCTTCTGGCTACTATCAAAGGTTTGTTCATGAAGCCATCCAGATATATAAACAGACATAACTTCAACCGAGAAGATGGATACAAATTGAGCAATCATTGGAAGGATGTTATCAACCAGGTAAAACCTTAACTGCTTTACAGTTTGCTCTCATATCCCCATCTCCAGTCTCTTACACCCAGCCCTGCTCAGTCCCATCATTTAGAAATTTGCCTTACGTGTCCATGTACCGCCCCCGGCTCTTCAGGCTATTGACTCTCAATGTCTCATTTGCCTCCTTTCCCCTCCACCCTCTCTATCCTTGCCCCCCCCCCCCTCGCTTATATAACCCCCTGGTAATCGCAGCTCTTTTGTCTATTTCAGCAACTGTTTTTTGCTGTGATTGTTCCCACCTGATGACGGACGCTTGTGTTGCATCAGAAACGTAGTGATTTACTTAACTTTTTTTTACCTACGTGACTTTACCGAAAGAAGCAAAAAGTATTACAGTATTAAGGAAAAAAGTTTATCCCACCTGCTTCCCCTGGATCTCCTCCCAGAATGGCCAGTCTTGCCGACATTAAACCCAGACCCAGGTAACTGAAAATACAAATTAACAAAGCAACTCAGTTGAAATACCATAATACGTTCAATACATTATAATCATATACCAATGTCATCATTTATTGTGTAGAACTCACCTATGGGAATAAATCTTGAACGTTTTGTTAAACATTTTGAAGGATGTTACATCTGCATCCGAAGCCGACTGCAAAAGTTAAACATACTGTATTAAAGTAAACATGGACTGCATTATTAGAGTGAGCATAGGCTGCATACTGCATTGTTAAAATATTTAAAAAATAACTATTCAATTACAAATTATTTCCTTATAAATTAGCAGCTCAAATACAACTATTTATATGAAAATAATGAATGTGGAAATACCAGACTTAAAATTCGGATTCATATGACTACAACTCAATGCAGTCAGTCATAGGCAGAGGGGAAAAAAAGGCCTTAAGCATGGACTTGAACAGGGACAATTAATTGACAGCACTGGTTGCTGGGGAAAGGGAATTCCACACGATAAGTTCAGCAGAAGCGAGTCACATGGCACTGAGTGAATGATGACTAGCAGCTTCGAGAGGAAGAGAGTGCATTGAGGACAGTAGTTAGATTAAGGGTAGAGAGGTTGATATGGGGCGAATCCATGGAGGAACTTGACGATGGCGAGTGGAATCTTGAAATTGATCCAGGATTGGACTTAAGAGACAGTGGAATGATTTTAGTATTAGGCTGATGTATTCTTATATAAGGGTGCAGGTAAGAAGTATGACAGCAGCAATTTGGATTACTGCCATTTCCAGATGTAACTATACATACTGCACGTTGTGAGCTTAGTGTATACTGTGATACATGCATGCCTCTTACCTGCTTCTGGGGCAAAAATGTAACCTGCGTGGAGCCGCCTCCGAGGTCAAGTATTCCAAACAACTTGTCTTCTGGCCCTCGTAGAATTCCTGCAAAATAGTACAGGAGTGGATACATCTCTCGAGACCAAGGAGACCACGTACCGCACCTCACAAGAAAATATAAGATGTTCAAATTAAGAACATGGAGAGACTACTGCTAACTATAATGGTTCCCATGGGAAAAAGAGGCACTGTGCTCTCCCCACCTGTGCCATCCTTCAAGTGGGACACTATTTTTATAACGTATTATATTTTAGACACATTTCAGAGACTGCCTTAAGTTGTTTATAAATACATTCTATTTTAAAAGGCAGTCAATATATTGACTGCAACTGATGTAAGATGTGTGTACCAGGGGCAGTCTACGCAATAGCGCATGTTAAGACTAGACTGTACTTAATGTAAAAAAAACACTTACCGAGAAGAAAGTTAATTGTGATCCATGAAGAAATACCTTGAAATAAAAACCAAACAGAGCCATGTCAAGAAAACAGTGTCCTCTCAGTTTTATGCACAAGATTAATTTTGCAAAGGACAATGAAATTAGTTCAAACTCACACCTTCATTTGCACCATCCATGATCTCCACACTGTTCTTTGGCACTTTGAATGGGGACCTGTCAAACAGATTTCGCACCTGTGAAAAGATGCGAGCAATATTTAAAATGTGTAATACATTATTAGATATATTTGAAAACCTAATAATTTTAAATAAACACCTTAGAAATTAAGAGTGAAAAACGTATGAGAACGGGATTTGAAAAGTTTACATTTATTAATATAGTATCAATTCCGTAATCACAAATTATATTTAATTGGTGAAAAAACATCAAATTAATTTTTTTTATTATTCTTAAAACTGTTTGTGGTCCATTTATAATTACATACTTGCACAAAGACAAAAACATTAAATATACCCTATATAGACTATTGGGCAAGTGCTGTTATTTTTTGGGCACCTATCAAGGCCCGCACGGCACATTACAGAGTGCTGCGACACAGCCTTTGGCTCCCCCGTGTCAATGTTTACACATTGCACCAGGAACTAAGTTAAGGCTGGATCGACCTCGGTGAGGCCTATTGCCAGTTCAAATTTTCACAACTGATGATGACCATGGCCATTTCCACAGGCACATTCACACAAACGATGAGGTCATCTGTCTTAATGTTTAAAAACGAACAAGGCCCTGCACATAGCACATGCTCACCTGCTCTAGCAAAACATCGGCTTTCCGGCCAGGTAGAAGGCGCAGGCCTGCCGTGGCCCTCAGCACCACAGGGGTTTCTTGCCACTGTGTCTCAGGGATGGCCTTCTTTGCTTTGGCCAGCAGCTCCTCTATGGACTGCACACTCTGGATCACATTGAGGGGTGGGAGGTGGAGGGAGCAGTTACTTTTCACATATTACTCTGTAGTTTTCCAGATGTACTGTAGGAAAGTGTTTTCACAAAAACAACACATAGTACAACCATAAAATACATCAGAAAAACATCATATATTGTTAAGTGAGGCTAAAGTGGCATGAATGGGGCAGCTGAAAACTAAAACATCATGACGTACACTTCCTTGTAAACAGTTAAAATGTTTACTTACTTGCCTTAAAGGCAGACTCAACAGTAAATGTTAAGCATGAGTATTTCACGTAACTAATGTTCTATAACGTACAAACACGCCAGCCAGTCTGTAAGAAATAGTTTTAAGCTATATAAATCTTACAAATATTAGTAAATATCAAGATTTTTTTCAACCCCTGTATCTGAAATATGAAGGAATACACGGTGTCCTTCGGAGGGCAAAAGCACATAAAGTTTAGTTTTAAAATTTATGTAGTTTGTTCAAATTAAGTATTTGTATTCAAGGCAAACATCCTGGTGATCCCATCTCTGAAAAGCTGAAACTACAGAACTGTTTACACACTAGTCCACCTTTCTCTTCAGGCTCTTTAAGCATCAGCTACAAGTGCCTGAAGCATGCCAGTCACATCACTTGCTGTGCGACTGACATTCCTGGTGGGTGGTACAGATGTTTTGTAGAGTTTTCTTTGATCTAAAACAATTGCTATGTGTATAATTATATTGGATATTGTTTTCATTGGTAAGCCATCATGTATCTGCAATATTTGGTAACTGCACCGGGGCTGACGGGCTGGATGGGCCCAGGCGTCGTGCCTCAAAAAGGGGGGAACGAACTTTTATAAGGGGTTACATTTGATTTTTTGCAACAGGGCCCATGCTACCTGTGATATGCCACATTAGTTGTTCTTTTATGCATAATTTGAATGTTTTGTGTGGAGTTTGTGCACCGCATCACCTGTTCTGGGTGGTCAGCGTATGCCGAGAGGCCAGGCTTCACGGAAAGGAACACTTCACTTGTCAGCTCCGGCAGGTTGGCTACATGAATGAACACCATACAATAAAATAAATATATAACCTCATATTTAAATTACTATTAAGGCAGAAAAGCTAAATATATATATATTTTATCACAAAGCAACATTTTATTTCTCCAATAGTTATTTTTTTATATTTGAGAAATTGATGAAAAGTTTTCTCTAAAAATAAAGTAAAGTTTAGTCAAACTAATTGGATGTAACATTCCAAAATTATACAATTGATTAAATTATTTTTAATATTTGCATACGGTTAGTATCATGGCATCCATACTGTGTTCAACCACCACATTGCAGGACACAACACAACATACGACTTGACTTAGAAAAATCCTCTCCCATTCGTCTCTTTTCACAAGCTGTTATAACGCTGCCCATTTCAAGCAGCAATGTTACCCCTTATCACAATTTTTACGTTTATTGCTGGATACTTGACATTTTGCGCCTTTGCTCGGAAAGGTTTAAATAGAAAATACACAAGCTGCACCTTCGTTCATAATGATAACGGACTGAAACATAAATTCTACTCATCAATCAACACCAACGAAATGCAATATTTTATGATTCCTTCCGACCTTTGTTGAGCTGCTTGAAAATGAACACGTGGATCCTGGTGCCTGTGCTTCCGGCGTCGAACATGATGCCATAGAACATCCTCCCCTGGGCGGCCGCGGCACCGTCTTCGCTGGGGTCGAGACGCAGCTCGGCATCGGGGAGGCCCATGCTGGCGCTGCACCACAGCCCCACGTAGAAGAGCAGCACGAGCAGCGCTGAGCCGAGCAACAGCGCGCAGGCGCTCGGGCGAAGCCGCCACCTCTTCATCTCCATCTGCAACGTCCGCACCACCTGCTAAGCGAACACCCGTGTGCAGCACTGCTCTAAGGCTACGTACGGCCAGCCCCTGATATTGCAGTGCATGTAAGAATATCAACCAAGCCCACTTGCCACTACTGTTTAAGATACCAGGGGGAGTGCCCACCCCACGTGGCATGAGTAGGACAACCTCAAACAGCCCATGCCTCCACACTGGTTTATTCTAGGCGTCACCACCATTTCACAAGTGTGGTATGTTGCCTGCCAACTTAGTGGCGTGACATAGCTAGAAGAAATTAACGTTTCCGATTTATCAGACTCAATGTTACAAATTCCCCCACCATATCTCGGTAAGGTGTGATGCTGTAGCCGAGGGAAGAGAATGCCAGAGACCTTGACACGCAGCCCAGGTCTAATTCCCTGGCTCAGATGACAATTCTACTTTGTTTTTAATTCGTTAAAACCATTAACTACGTCTTCTCTTTAACTTGTAGTTATAGCAAGAAACCCATGTCTTTACTTTAGACCCCCACCTTGAATTGATATGCTAACCAGTGGCCCCTCGATTTACGATGCCATGATGAACGATATATTGATTAACGATCCGCCTGGATCCCATTGTTTCTTTTAACGAGACATTTTCGATTAACGACATGTTTACAATACCACGCGGCCGCCAATTTCAGCCAATCGGCCCGCTCCGAAGTGAACTCTGCAGACCTCAGCCAACCAGCGACGCCCTTTTATCACCTTTTTGAGAGCAACTGGCGGCCAGATTTTCAATGTTTGACGGTGCGTTGCTTATTGAAACAGTTCCCTTGAATACTTAGTGGGGATTTTTTTACTTCAAAGATAAATTAGAGCAATAACATTGACCCCTAAAATGAATTTGAAGACGAGAGTGAGGAAAATATAGTATGATGCCTAAGATAAGATGTTTTTTATTTGCACCTATTTATACTCTATTTATTCATTGATCTTTTAATGTTCGTATCACGTTTATTTATTAAAACTGCGTGTTTAAATGACAAACTATGTTTTTAGGGTGAAAGAGGTCAAGTTCCGATCGTCTTGGAACAAATGAGGCCTTTAACGCGTATTTCCTATATTCGATTAACGATTAATTAATATCGTTCACCAGTATTTGATCAGGAAGGACGCCCCCACACCGTGTAGGGCATGGAGGTTGCTTAGTCGCCACACTTTTATCAGTGCTGATCAGTGCGGGTTGGCGAAGGGTGGTGTGGTGGGGCGAGTTCAGGAATGACCTGCCACTGACGTTAGCCGTGGCCGCTAATCAACCTCTGATCGAACCGTATCCTTCCTTGCACGTATCTCAGCCGCATTCGTGTCCCACCTACTTTGACGATTACTAACCCTTCATCACAAACAGCGATTTTGATTGAGAGGGGGGGGGGGGCATAGACTACAGCATAGTCTCACCCCCACATCTCAAACCTATGACTAAATTGCTAGAATTTGTCAAGCACGAGTACGGTACCTATAAAGGCCGGCACGGCACACGAACACGAGGGGGTGGGTGGCCAACACCACGCCCGGCCGCCTTTGTCTCCCCAGTGGCGATGTTTTCACATCGCACCGGGTACTCATTTGATGCCGAGTCGACCTAGGGGAGGCCCAGAACCGGTTCAGATAATCATCACTGGTGGTGTTGGCTGCGAGCGGGAATCGAACCCGGGTTGCCGGGTTCATAGCGCAGCGCGCTAATCGCTACACCACCGCTCCCCACACACACACAGAGACACACACACACACAGGGAGACACACACAGACAGAGACACACACACAGGGTGACACACACACGAAGACACATACGGAGACACACACACACAGAGACACACACACAGGGAGACACACACACACAGGGTGACACACACACAGGGAGACACACACAGAGAGACACACACGGAGACACACACAGACACACACAGGGAGACACGCAGAGAGACACACACACACAGCGACACACACACGGAGACACACACACAGCGACACACACACAGGGAGACACACACAGGGACACACACACAGGGTGACACACACACAGGGAGACACACACAGGGACACACACAGGGTGACACACACACAGGGTGACACACACAGGGTGACACACACAGGGTGACACACACAGGGAGACACACACACAGGGTGACACACACAGGGTGACACACACAGGGTGACACACACACAGGGTGACACACACACAGGGACACACACAGGGAGACACACACACAGGGTGACACACACACAGGGTGACACACACACAGGGAGACACACACAGGGACACACACAGGGACACACACAGGGAGACACACACAGGGTGACACACACACAGGGAGACACACACACAGACACACACAGACACACACAGGGTGACACACACACAGACACACACAGGGTGACACACACACAGACACACACAGGGTGACACACACACAGGGTGACACACACACAGGGAGACACACACAGGGACACACACAGGGTGACACACACACAGGGTGACACACACACAGGGACACACACAGGGACACACACAGGGTGACACACACACAGGGTGACACACACACAGGGTGACACACACACAGGGACACACACAGGGAGACACACACACAGGGTGACACACACACAGGGAGACACACACAGGGACACACACAGGGAGACACACACACAGGGTGACACACACACAGGGAGACACACACACAGACACACACAGACACACACAGGGTGACACACACACAGACACACACAGGGTGACACACACACAGGGTGACACACACACAGGGACACACACAGGGACACACACAGGGTGACACACACACAGGGTGACACACACACAGGGACACACACAGGGAGACACACACACAGGGTGACACACACACAGACACACACAGACACACACAGGGTGACACACACACAGGGAGACACACACAGGGACAGACACACACAGGGAGACACACACAGGGACACACACAGGGACACACACAGACACACACAGGGTGACACACAGAGACGCGCTGCGTAAGAGCTCTCTCGGCTCAACCCCCCACCCAGCGCCCAAAGTCCAACGCCGCGACACGACAGACCGTGGCCACACGCAGGACCCGGGGCCACACGCAGGACCCGGGGCCACACGCAGGACCCGGGGCCACACGCAGGACCCGGGGCCACACGCAGTGAGCCCGAGCCTCGTCTCCCCCCTCCACCCCAACCTCATGGACGCCGCGGGGAACCCTCGAAACCATCACCCAATGTCGCTCCCCCCACCACCACCACCCCCCTCACGGTTCCCGTGGCGAGAGAGCTCGGACGGACCTTGACGTAGGGCGGGAACATGAGCGGGGCCTCCCCGGCGAGTTCCGCGGGTCGCGGGGTCCGCGGCTTCAGCTCCAGCGGAGGACGACGACGACGCCGCACGGCGGGGGTCGGTGTCTCGGTGTGTGCGTGATGACGTCACTTTGCCACGGCGTGACTTCACGTTTGCCACGGCGTGACGTCACGTTTGGCACGGCGTGACGTTACGTTTGCCACGGCGTGACGTTACGTTTGCCACGGCGTGACGTCCGTTTGCCACGCCGTGACGTCCGTTTGCCACGCCGTGACGTCACGTTTGCCACGGCGTGACGTCCGTTTGCCACGCCGTGACGTCACGTTTGCCACGCCATGACGTCGTTGTTAGGACGTGGAGACATTGCAATGATATTCTTAGGTGTTTTCGGTAAAGTCACGTAGGTAAAACATCAAAATTAATAAAATAATAAAATAAAATAAAGATCACGACGTTTCGGAGGCAACACAAGTCTCCGAAACTTCGTGATCTTTATTTTATTATTTTTATTAATTTTGATGTTTTACCTACGTGACTTTACCGAAAACACCTAAGAATATGATTCCTTGCAGTCACGAAAGCTTCAAGTCTAGAACATTGCAATGAGGGAGCCACGCCCTTGTGGGGGTGGGGTGGGTGGGGTGATTGACGTTCCTTGCTTCACCGCCGTTCGTGCGTCGTGACGTGCGTCTTAACGCTCGTGACGTTTGAGTTTGACCGACATGACGTCATTGTGTATTCTCGTGACATCCGCATATTATGAACTGCATACAAATGCCGTACTGTATATATGCAATGTACACGTGGTGGTCAAGGTGTCTTGTAACCCCCATTTAATTATCAGAAACGTAATATTGCTTTGTTTAAAAGTAAGGTTTATTTAACGCAGACATACATATGCAACCGAAGACAATGTTAAGGGTCAATTAATTGGGGGTCACAAGACATCTGGACCAGCCCGTAACTCGATATAAATTGCGCAATCACGTCATTACGTGACGTTGCGGTGCACGTGCAGCGTCTTGCTTTTACGTCGTGACGTCGACGTCGCGGCTTCGGGCGTCGTGACGTCATAGGGCGACACGACGCGAGCGTGACGACGTACGGGGGTGGGGGGTGGGGGGGATGTGCTTTGTGACGTCACTACGCACGTTATTGATCCGGCGTTGCTCGTGGAGACGCTCGGCGTGGCAACAGAAACAACAAGGCTGGAGGAGGCGGTAAAGGTTTATTTTACGAGTAAAAGTCTCGACGGTAAAACTACTTAAAGTTAAAGCAAGGGACACTCCGCAACGATGCCTAAGAAGAAGAAGGGCAAGGCCAAGGGAGCGAAGAAGGGGAAGAAGTAAGAGTTATGGGCTGCGTTGGAGTAACGACAGCGAGACAAAGCACAGCACGCGCACACCGCAACACTCACCGCATGGCGTACAGCGCAGTGCCGCAAATCACGAGTTTAAATGCGCATATCATTGACATGCATTACTGGAAGACTTTGTCAGTTTTTTCCTGGATTTTTCTGTTTGCGCATAGTCACTTTAAGATGTTTTCTTGTTCATGTTTTTTGTTTGTTGCGGTTGCAACCGATTCAAGAGCCGAATGGCTCACAGGGCTTTACCAAATAAATGAAACTGAAAAAACTGAAACAGGTATATCAGTGGTTTATGTTAAAATGTCACTCGTTTATGTTAAAATGTCACACGTATATGTTAAAATGTGACTTGATATGAATAAGGGTCATTGTCCGAAACGTCGCCAATTTATTTTATAAGGCCAGTGTTCTTCACCAATGTGTTGAGCTTTAGTATATACTGTATGTCGGATCTTTTTTATTTCACACCCAGCTGCCAAATATCTGTGACATCACAATGGGACGGGAAAAAATTTGGCGATGCCTAAGTGTTTTATGGGTAATGGTTCCCAAGCACAATTACCAAAACAACTCAACACATTCGCCAGCAACACTGCCTTAAAACTAATATTTTTCTTTGAAGGCAATGTTATTGCGTCAATTTTAAACGATATTTACTCTCGATTTAAAACTTTAGTGACTGCAGGGATTCATCTTCTTGGTTCTTTCGGTAAACTCACGTAGAAGGAAAATAATAAAATAATAAAATAACTTTTATTGTCTACACTATGGGAACCTCATTTGCCAGCAAAAATATGATAATTGGTTCTTTACCCTTCTATCTGGCAACAAAACTGACACCTTTTTACAAGGAGTCATGTTTGCATAGACCGCAATACCTGCAGTCATAATACAAACAAAAGAACATAACTCTGATAATGTGCACTGTCCTTGAAGTTGATTGGTCCACACCCGAGACAGCTTTCCTTAGAGCCTAGTCTCATATGGGTTGGACCAGATGACGCCAAAAGGCGCACTTTTGGCGTCATCTGGTCCAACCCATATGGAATTGGACTGTTAACATTGTGCAAAGTGGCTCAGTATTGATGAGTATTGATGAGTCCTGACCACTGCCACCTCGGTGCCTGCTGGTCACTGTGCCACTTCGCTCTGTGTGTCTCAAATGGCGGTTGTTTGCTACAGGTCCAGAAACCCCAAAACGCCGAGCAGCTAGTAACACACAACACGGTTGAAGGTGTGCTTTGCAATACAAGCGTTAATACGGTTTCTTGAGTTGAGCAAGGTTATCTGAACTTGGGGAAAAAAAGACAACGGGAGGGAATTACAAAAGTCCAGCAGTGCGAGGGAAACAGCAGAAAACTCAGTGTTGTGATCTGTGTGGTGGTTGAACACAGTATGGATGAGATGAAACAGTCAGTATGATAGACTGAATCATCGACAAGGGTGGGTGGAGGAATCGATGAGTGAAGTTAATTGGGACAGCAACTGAGGTATCAGCGACAGAAGACAAGCAGGCGACCGACCATCGATGAACGAGTGACTACGTGTCACAGTGGTATTGTGGTCAGCACTCAAACTCCATACTTCCGCCACACGCACACCTGTTACCCGTTTTGTGCTGCGCTCCCTCCGCAAGGAAGAACAAAACCGGGGAGCACAAGGAGAGGCAGACGGATCGCGAGATGGAGCTGGAGCGAGCGTGTGCCAACGCCACGCTCTGGGAGTCCCGGCTGGAGGCCACGGAACGTTCCCGTGGCGAGTACCGGGAGGCTGCACGCCGCATGGCTCAGTCCAACAACGAGTTGTTCCAACAGCTGGGGTCCGTGGAACGCGACTCCATAGACGTCATCAGCTACATGAAGTCGCAAGACCTGGAGAAGGACAGGATGGTGGGCGAGACATGAGCAATTCCGTGATGTTGATTGTTGTATTGAGGGGATATGTTTTGTTTATTTCTGGTTATTATTTGCCAATATGTTCAACCAAATATAGTCTGAAAAGCATCTTGGTTCTTTGTACACAAACAAACCCAATTGCGGAAGGTTGTTTTTGTTATCCGTTTATTTTAAATGTGAATGTTATGACACCACAGATCAAGAAGCTGCAAAAGCAGATTGAAGACAATCGACAAGAAATAAGGGACGAAATGAAAAAACTGGTGAGTTATTCTGACCCTACATAAAGAGAATGTTGTTGACTTAGTTGTTTGTGCTTTGCATCGTTGTTTAAGTTAAACGTAAAATGGTAACGTTATTTGGAGATCAGATTGACGAGGCGAAGGAGCAGAAGGCGGAGATGGAGTTGCGGCTGGAGCATAAGAGCAGTGAGGTCAGTCAACTCCAGAGCGAGCTGAGAGACATGCACGAGTTTCGCCTGAAGCGGGACCAGATGCAGCAAGAGCTGGATGAGGTGACAACACTCCTGCACCTGCAAAAACAAAGATCCCCAGTATAGTCTTAGCAGACTGTTGGAGCTGAGTGTTGTTAGCGAGCACCTATGAAGGCCGGCATGGCACACGAAGGGGTCGGTGGCCAGGACCATGCATGTCTTCCTTGTGGCGACTTTTACACAATCGCACCAGGTACTCATTTTAGGCTGAGTCGACCTAGGGGAGGCCCAGAACTGGTTCCAATAATCGTCACTGGGATTGGCTGTGAGCAGGAATCGAGCTCGGATCACCGGGTTCGTAGCACAACGTGATAACCGTGATGGTACCGAACCTGCACCTCCGTTGTCACATGCACTCAGAATGTTGAAAAGTTGAGAAAATATATATACTGGCATGTAGTTATACACATGGGTTACAATTTCCATGAAAAATTATTAATGTAAAAGCTCCAATTATATGTGTGTTTTTATCACTAAAGTTTAGTTTGTTTGAGCAAACTTTAATAATTATGTATGCTTCATGATGTAGATTACAGAGAGTATGAATGCAGCCGGCAAGAATCACAAAGAAGCTCTGGCCAAAATGGAGAGAAAGTTTTTGGAAGATAAGGTATGACTGTACTCCAAACATTTCGAACAGATAATTTAAACAATCGGCCTATCAGTTTATTAACCACACGAAGCTTATTTGAAAAGAATATCACCAACTCAATGTAACATTAAAATGAATATCCTCCCAATGAAAAAAACAAAGGCCTCTTTTTATACGTGTGCACTTTTCACATTTCACACATAGTGTGGGAATGTAATGTCGCAGTGTACAATGTTTCTGTTTTCTCAGTGTGATGTGAGCATTATTAAGTGTGGCAATGGTCTGTCCTGTAGGTTCGTCTAGAGGAGGAAGCAGGGCAGGTGGTCAACCAGCTGGCTGAGCAGGCTCATACAGAGGCCATCATGTGAGCTCCAGGGGCCAACACCTTACAGCCATCACACGTGCTATACATTTCCACGTGATAAGCCACTTTGTTGAGCTGTCATTTGTGGCCAGTTCGCTTCTGAAAAATAAGCTAATAGCTTGGTGGGCTTTACCTGGTAAGATAAAAAAAAATGTTTAGTTTTATTTGTATATGTTTTAAAGTGATTTGCTAACGTTTCCAATACTTTTAACTTCTGTCGTGTTTTTGTATTGTTTGTTGTAACGTTCTGACCCCAAGCCCAGGACCAGTTCGGATATCCTCTCTGCCATTAGTCATGAGCGATAATCTAGCTGGGTTTATAGCACAGTAAACACTGTGCCACTACTTCATCCCCCTTCCTCTATAATGTACATGCATGGATGTATGAATATACAATACAGACTGACTTTCATATAGTGCTTGTGTAATATTCACGTGGGTAACAGGAAACTTGACGAGACGACTCAAGCGGTGTACAAAGAGAACGTGCGGCTCAGCGAGGCCTTGACCCTGCACAAGAATGACGCACAAACACTTCGCAAGAAGAACGAGATTCTCGTGGAACATAACAACCGGCTCTGTCAAGAGAAGGTGCCACGCTTACAAATTCCCCCATTTCTGTAGGTTCGCCACAAGCACCGTTTAGCCCAGGGGTCGGCAACCTTTAAAAGAAGAAGAGTAATTTTTTTGGTCTTTAACCAAAATTGTCTGAGAGCCGCATCATACGCAGAGCTACTTGTACACAAACATAGCAGGTATACGGCAGATGACAAAAATATTCTGACTTAAATAAACAAAATAGGTGATGGAATAAACTGCTTCTATTTAGTTTCCCCCCCTCCTTATCTATTCATTAACAATACAGTTTGACTGTACTTTTTGTCGTCACCAAAACATTCCATAGTGACCCATCCCTGCTATATTTAATAAATTATCTTTACGTTAAGTTATGTTTAAGATTTTAAAAAATTCAAACGGCTGCCTGCAAGGGGGAGGCCAAAGGGCTGCACGTGGTTCTGGAGCCACAGGTTGCCAACTCCTGGTTTAGCCAGATGTGACATTAATAGTGAAACGTGCAAATATAAAAAAAAAAATCTGCAACAATGCAAATGAATAGTACGGTTAAATGTATACATTAGTATTTAATAAAATATATTGTTATATTTTTAAATAAGCCTCAAAGCTTAATATAGGTCTCAAAGCCACCATTTTTTAAAAATATCTTTGGAATTTTTTGCTGTTAATTTCTTCTTTCTTCCACAGTAGCAGCAAAGGTCGGCAACTGCCAAATATAAAATATTTGTGTACTGCTGCCTTGCATTCTGCGATCAATATTAAAACTCATCGACTGCCCCCTTCGCCAGGAGGAGAGGGCACAGCTGATTCGGGAGAAAGTGGAGGAGGCAGCTCAGCAGAAGGAGAAGCTGCGCAAGCTGCAAAGGAAGGTGGAGATGCTGGAGCAGAACCTGAGGCTCATGGCACGCGAGTTTGAGGAGGAGCGAGCGGTCGCCCGTGCCCAGTGGCAGTCGGAGAGCCAGGCCGACCGAGCTGAGGTAATGCAGCTCCGGCACGCGATGGAGCTGCGCGCACGCGAGATGAACCGTGTCAAGAAACTCGCGCGCAACATCCTGGACCAGCGCAGCGATGTGGAAGCCTTCTTCCTGGAGGCGTTGGCGCAGGTGCAGGAGGAGGTGGCCACCAGCCGCGCTCACTACAAGCGCGCCGCGCAGCACGCCTACCAGCGCAAGCTGCAGGGAGCTCTCGCCGGCACGGAGGAGTACCCGCGAGTGCGCACCTTTGGCAAGCTGCAGCACAGTACCAACAGCGTCTACAGGGATGTAGAGGAAGCAGAGAAATGGTGAGTGGTCATCTAATTTTTTAAAATATATTTGTAATGTCCTACTTTCCCGAGGCTTGCGTGTGTGTGTGGCGTGCGACGCGTACACTCAGTCGGAGACGTTGTTGGACTGAGCCATGCCTTCTCTCACAACCACGCTGCCGTACAGGCCGGCCTAGACACGACCTTGTCCACGTTGCACCGACGGCGTCGACCGAGACAGCCAACCGCTGTCCGGCCACGCAATGTCCGGGTGAAGGCGGCAGCGACGACGAGACGAGTCCACTCCCAGAACCAGCAGCCCGGAGCTCTCGCTCTCCGCTGCTTTTATTCCCCTCGGCGCGGCTTGGCTCCATCCTAGCCGCGCCTCCCTTCTCGAACCCACCAGAGGGTTCCAGGGGCCACGAGGTCTACCATGACCCTTGCCCCAGTTCCTCCGCCCTCCCGGCACACACACCGTGTGTATGCTCAGCGGCGTGTGCACTAAGTGTCCACCTGCAGTTGCCGCTGCTGTACAGCAGTCGGTGCTGTGTCACTACATATGTATGAACGTCTTTTCACATGCACGTAGCCAACCGTACAAACAAGGTGGCAAACTTGTTTGTTTATATCTTTTATCTAACCAGGAGTTTAAATAAACCCATTGAAACAGGTGACACTTTTTTTCCCAGGGGTGATCTAGGTTACAGTTAAAACGATTAAAGAACACAGTTGTTAAAAAAAAAACAACTTTAACATTGGTAGACTCATTTTGACAATACATTCATACAATACAATGTGAACAAGGCGAATTAAATGTGTATATGCGCGTGGTCAATTGTGTATAAATAAGAGTTATTTATGTAATAAACCATGTTTTAGATTGTTGATACAATGTACGTATTGGAAATATGTGGCTTATACCCTTGAACATCAGGAACAACATCACAGCAGAAAAAGTGGACATCTGTGACCTGACTTGGGAGCAGAAGGAACGAGTGCTAAGGGTCCTCTTTGCTAAAATGAACGGGGAGATGAGCAGCAGGTAATGAACAGCTACGGCAAGTCACATACCAGATTGTCATGATGATCATTATGCTTTCATGAAATCTGCAATTCGAAATAACTCTCACGGCAGATGCATTCATAGCCATATACTGGCAAAGGAGGTCTAATGATGTAGATGCTTACCCCGAGCCCTCATTACTTTGATAGTGCATTGTCTTTGAGCGGTACGCCTTTTGGCGTCATCTGGTCGAGCACCAATTGAGACGAGGCTCAAAAGAAAGCTGTCTCTGGTGTGGACCAATCAGTTTCAAGGACAATGTATATATTATCAGAGTGTTTTTTTGTTTGCATTTTGACTGCAAGTATTGTGGTTAATGCAGACACGAATCCTTGTAAAAAGGTTTCGGTTTTGTTGCCAGAAAAAAGGGGGAAAACCCCTATTATTACTTTGACAGCAAACCATGAAATGTAATCATGTAGCAGCAGTAAAGGTGTACATTTTCATGAAGTGTGCTTTCCTTGGCTTAAGTATATAGCATCAACACATTTATCATTGTATGGTATTCTTAAACAAGTGTGTCTGATTATTCAGGAAAACTCGCAAGACGGAAATGATTTTGTCAGCACCGGCAGGGGGCATTCCAAGCGTGAAAAATGCACAGCAAGACAGGTACTAATGTCCACATGCATATTGTGGTCGTTTGAGCACAGCGAATAGGCTGCGTATTAAATTAAAATTATCATTGTGTTCAGATGTAATGGAGATTGGAGTTATCTTAGCTAGTGTTCGCAAAGAAAACGACGAACTCCTCTAAAGACTCCATTGAAAACATTGAGTGTGTATTTCTATCTCGGAATTGAGTGTTGAATTAAGTTAGATGCTATATTTAATTTAAAATATGTACATATTCTTAAAAAAAAAAGTACAGTATTTCACCTTTCCTCCCAGTGCACCAACCCTACCCATTAATCGCACCGTCCCCCCCCCGTTGTGGACTTTGCCCACCCCTGAACAAATCCCCTTTCAGCATTGCGGATGGGGAGGCTCCCAATCTCACATTCATCACCCAAGGTACTTTGGACTCCTCGCCAGCAGGAGGCCTCTCCCTACCAGCCATCCGAACTGGGCCAAGTCCAGGGCGAATGCAAGCACATCTCGCTGCACCATAGCGATACTCTCTGTAGCTTCGAGGCCAGCGATTATTAGATGGTTAGTTTGCCCCATCGATATACCTGTGTGTGGACGTAACACGATCGATTTTGGACACAGTTATGAGTTTCTGTACTTCTGATGTAGGAATTTCATCTGCTAAAATAATTAAGGACAGTTTGCTTTGATCATTAAAATACTTAGATTCAAACATACTTTTAAAATCATGGCTTTTAAAGTTGTGTACGTGAATAATTGCATTGTAAATTTCATGATGTGTATTTTTAAAAAGTGTTTTCGTGTATTGGAAGATTACTTCGTGTTGCTTTTTTCACAATTTAAGTTGATATGATGTGTAGCTAAAGGACAACAGTAATATAATTGGATTGAATATCGGTATACGTTTTTTTGATGAAATGATCATGTGTAGCAAAAATAAGTTAAAACATGAATAAAGTTGTTTCAACACCATTTTAGCAATGCAAATTTACTGCTAAAAGTTGCCTCAGTTAAACTGACAACTAATTTCATAGATCACGCATTTCAAGTGTTTTTTTTTATACATTAAGCACACACCATATCCATTTTCACAATACATTTTAGCCTTGCTACACTATCAAAAACTTGAGAATCAGAATCTTTATTGATACTGGAGGAATCCGATGAGCGATTAAACTCTTTTTCACAGATAACCAGTAAGGGCAGGTCAGAAAGTTACAACAACAAATAAGGGGCCGTCCATAAATGACGTCACGCACCTGGGGGGGGGGGGTCAGACATTTGTGACGATGTGTGACGAGGGGGGGGGGGGTGAGAAATGTGACGTCACATCAAAATGCGCAACTTTAAATAAATATAAACACGTTCTACTGAATTAAATAGACTTTTTAATAGATGTTTTCTCCTACAAAATCAGAGTGCAGCGCCACATTAAATACGCACTACGATGACAATAATTTAAAGCGATTTGAAGCATGTTTTTTTTTTGGGGAGGTGGGGCAGAGCTTTGTGACGTCATATTTGAGGGGGGTCTGACTTTTTGTGACGCCGTGTGACGAAGGGGGGGGGGGGAGTCAAAAATCGTCCAAAATCGAGTGACGTCATTTATGGACGGCCCCTAATGCAAAAACACAATAGGAGTCCAAAGTATAGGAAGGTAAGCAAATCACAAAAAAATACATTTTTATTTTACCAGGTAAAGCCCACTGAGCTATTATTTTCTTTTTCAGAAGCGACATGTCCACAAATGAAAGCTCAACCAAGTGGTTTATGTGGAAATGTATAATAGCCAAATAACCTAAATAAATAACTTGAAAAATTATACAATGCCATACTATTAGTATCTGCAAGAGTGTTAATCAATTGCTGCTACAAAAAGCATCCCAGATGCAATAATTAAATACGTTAATAATGAGGAAACCCATCATGAAAGAAAAAATCCAGGGGAAAAAAACACGTATGGTTTATAAAAAAAGGACCGTGTATTTGAAAATGTGCAATCACAAGACTGGCTATTATCGGAACGATTACTGTGAAGAGGGATAGCTTCCAAGGGCAGTCTGTTCCCCGTGGCTGGGAGGTTGTAGCATGTGATGCAAGCTTTTTGCCATGAAACTAAACATTGGTGGTCAAACGGTCGTGGCCCCACGAGCGGACGTAGTCGTGAAGAGCCCGAAACCACGTGAGTCCTTCGAAGCCCCTGGCTGCCTCTCGAGTCACACTGCGCCATCGCCATGTGACACGTCCACGTGACACGTCCATCAGTCGGAAGTTTTTTTTGGGGATTTTCCTGGCACATGGCAATCGAAATTTGCGTTGTGCCACGACATTTCTGTGAATGTAGTGTATGTAGCGGACGAGTCCATTCACGTGTTTGAGTTCACTCCGAAGTTACATTTTAGCGTGTTATGTTTGCGCTTAATATTTTAACAATGAAATGTCAATGTGGAAGTGCACGCACTCCCATCTAAGGTACAAAAAGAAGAGTGGATATTATCACATTTGTAAGCGTACAAATTCAACCAAATTTCGTCACGAGTGAAATTATTCCTCGAAAATAAACTTTTCAACAACTCGTATTTAAATTTCGATTTAAAGCTTTCGTGACTGCAGGGATTCATCTTATTGGTTCTTTCGGTAAAGTCACGTAGAAGGGAAGTAATAAAATAATAAAAATAAAACATAATAAAATACAATTCTCACGACGTTTCGGCCACAACGCAAGCAGCCATCCTCATGTGAGGACGGCTGGTTGCGTTGTGGCCGAAACGTCTTGAGAATTATTTTATTATGTTTTATTTTTATTATTTTATTACTTCCCTTCTACGTGACTTTACCGAAAGAACCAAGAAGAATTCGTATTTAATCATAAAAAAACTACTTTACACTGATAAAGGGGGGTCTCCGGTTTGCTTTTGAACGAAACGGACTATAGAAGCATTTTTGGAAAACGTTTCGTAGCTAAGCTATGGTTTGCGTGGCAAACTTGTACACGCAGTGACTGATGTGTCATTAGCGTAGGGCTTTAAAAGGCAGAGGGTGAGGTCAAAAGAAATGCACTCCGTCGCGGATGTGCTGGCATGCTTAGGGAAATTTTCTCCAGAGAGTCGTCCATTACTCAACCCCCCAGCATGGACCGCACAGATGTTTGGTTTCGCTTCAGATGTCCCTTCTACCTCTAACCTACGCCAATGGCTCTATTATTCCATTTGTTTCCTATGTTATGAGCGAACGAGAGTTAATGTACCGTGACGCCTGGTCGTGCACAGGAAAGGTGTTCCTTTAATTTGTCCAGCCACAAATCAATTCCAGAAACTTGACATTCAACTTTCCTGGGTTACAGCACAACAAAGGAGAGACAACAGGTCTTTGAGATTGTGTGACTCGGTGTGACACAGAGTGGTCATTACTTTTCCTGGTTTCAAGGTCAATTTAAAATTATTAGCGCGATAACACTACGGGCATAATAAACACGATGCATAATAGCTTCATAAACACTCGTGCTATAAGCAAATTACTTAGAGTGTCATGTTTTAATTTGTTAAGAGTTCCCAGTAAGATGGTAGAAAAATGAGTTTACGTTTTTGTGCGTTTTGTTACATTTACATTTGGTGTGACTCATTTTTCTTTTATTATTTACTTTTGTGCTTTCGAGCTAACATTTCTTTCCCCTGTCTTTTCTTCTTTCTGGATTTCACTTTAAAGGGAGAGTAAAAACGTTTCTCGGAGTCTGGACAGACAACAGTAAGGGCTTGGTTGGGTGATTTTGCTATAAAGTTGCAGTCAATCTTAGAAAATGTCGTTACTGAAAATATGTGTCAAGGACAATGGGTTTTCAAATAAGAGTACTGTTAACAATCTGCTATTTATACAATTATACATTTTAAGGTACAGTCTCTAAACAAGACAATCTAACTTTACCATTTCACTTTATGTTACCTCTTAACATAGTTTTCACCTTTATCCTGAAATGTTTAATTCACAAGCATTGCATTATTATAGTCCAGTAATACAAATACAGGATGGACACCTAATCGTTATGTATGCATGTTATGTATGCATGTAGCCAATCGTGCTAATAGGATGTGCTGTGGAAGGACAAGAAACTAAATACAAAAATCAGTTCCTCATCCTTGCTGTCATGCAGCAGTGGATTTATTGTGCCTGCGAATGAAGATGATATAATATATGCGTCCAAATTGAATGAGATTAAATCCAAAAACAGGTTGTGTGGTTGGAAAGGCGGGTGGGAAAGGTTTAAACAAGAATGTCTGCTCAACTGCTTCGGTTCTGGTAAACTCAAGCCAGCGCACGTTGGAGCAACGGTTCGATTCCCTCTGCTGCACATTGCCAAGGATCTTTAGACTGCTGCAAAGTGGACATTAAGCATGCTGTGACAGCTCTCTGGTGTGTTTTCGGCTTCCACCGCGCGTTGTTCGGCATGATATCCGACGTTTCGCTTCACGTGCTGGGAACTGCATTGAATTGCTCCTGATAAAGCTCCCAGCACGTGCAGCGAAACTTCGGAAAGCGTGTCGAAAAATGTGCGGTACAACCAGAGAGCACATCGGATAACTGTTACAGCACGGGTGCGGAAAACCTTTGCTCGCGACATTACTGGCAAGTGCAGAGCACTGCTGGTAGCATAGCTCAAATTGCGTACTGCAGTATAAATCTCAGCAAATATATAGATTCTGAGGTCTCACTTTCATCAGGTCAAATTAATGTGACTGACGCTGACACTTGGGAGGTTGGACAGATTTCATTGCTGGGACTGGGTGGAAGTGACACATCTCGAGAAGGGGTTGTTGGCCGTCATCGCAAACAAGGGCCAAGTGGCAGGCAAGGAATGGAATGCGTCCAAAGTGGACATCCACGAATAAAAGTGGAGCGTTGAAATCGGCCCCTGTGTGCAGGTGCAAGATGGATTGTTACATCACAGGGTCTTGGGAGATCGTGGCGGTTTGGAGAAGCTTTCATCCAGAAGTGCTTTGGCCATGCGTGATGAAGATGATAACTCAGAAGAAGCAGAGAGCAGGGCTTGTTGTAACAGGCAACATTGATAGCGAGCCAGTGGCAGTGCCATGGTCTAATAATGTAGCAAGCCACTCTCTTAAGCCATTACGTGTCTGCCCACCAGATAAATCAGGATTATTCCTCTTTAGGGTTCAAAAACAGCATTTCATCAGACGTGGGCTTTCAAAGTGCAAATCTGCGTACATCACTAACGAGGCAAAGTAAAATCTCTCTTGCGCCAGTAATTATTCTTGTTTGTTGAATGTTAGCCCCATCGCGATGACTTTATTACTATGGGTGTTTTTAAATAATTCTTCTTCTGGTTTAGTGTCAGTTGGGATGGGCAAAGCAAGGAGATCACTGGGAATTAAACATGCCTTTGCTTTGTGCGTGCCAGTCCAAAAAATGCACAAAAGAGCATTTTATTAATTTAGCTTTAGTTTTTGTGCAAATATAAACCATGCAATCATATCAGAATGTGCGTCATTCCATTTGCCTGAGCTTTGACATTTGACTCTGTTGTCTGCACAAATGAGGGCGCTATCTTTGTGTTTACCATCCACAGACTCTTGGGATGCATCACATCTAAGTGTCAACTTTTACTGATCCCAGGTTCCTCCCGTGTAGCTACGCAATCATCATATGGCCTCACATATCAGAAGAAGCATTGCCCAGACTGTTCTATTCAAGTTTCCAAGGTCAGTAGATGCCCAATGAGCCACCAAGCGCTCATGGTTGGTGATTTACATTGTATGCCCTTGGGAAATACAAGACTAGGTATGGCCAAAAGAAGGCAATGCAATATATTCTACAAAATAAAATAAATCACGACGTTTCTGGCGCAACACAAGTGTCCATCATCAGGTGGTCTGCTGCCTCAGCCACTACATTCCTCAGCAGCAGACCATGCTTTCCCACCTGATGATGGACGCTTGTGTTGCGCCCGAAACGTCGTG